CTCACATCCAGCCTAGACTTTCCCTCCTTAAGTTTGAACCCATTAGCCCTTGTCCTATCATTGCAGTTCCTAACAAAGAGTCCCTCTCTGGCTCCCTTGTAGACCCTTCAGATATTGAAAAGTTGCTATGGGGTCTCCACGCAGTCTTCTCTTCTCCAGGCTGAGCAGCCTCTACTTCCTCAGCCTTCATAGGGGAGATGGTCCAGTCCTCTTATCAACTTGCTCCAACAGTTCTATGTCCTTCTTATGTTGAGGACACCAGAACAGCATGCAGTATTCCAGGTGGAGTCTCATGAGAGCAGAGTAGAGGGGAAGAATCACCTCTTTTGACCTGCTGCCCACATTCCTTTTGATACAGCCTAGGATTGGATTGGCTTTCTGGGCTGTTAATGCTCACTGCAGCTCATGGTGAGCTTCTCATCCACTGTCACTCCTAAGTCTTTCTTCTCACTGCTGGTTTCAATTTCTTCCCCACCCAACCTGTAGATGTGCCTGGGCTTACCATGGCCCAGATGTAGGACCTGGCATTTCATTTTGTTGAACTTCATGAGGTTTGCATGGGCCCACCTCTCAAGCCTGTTAAGGTCTCTCTGGATGGCATAACCATTTCCACATACATACCATGTGGCATGGGACCTGGGGCTCCTTGTGGTGCATTGTGTCCAGAAAAGGATTAGGGGTTGCTGGAGGGTCTAAGGACAAGTGGCTTCTGGACACCATTTTCAGGTATATGAAGACCTGCTGACTCTAAAGCTTTCCCATGCAAAATGTAAGGTGGGTGAGTCCCCTGTGTGCTCATGGTTCTTCATCACCTTAGCAGCAGTGCTCATGTCTTCTTTCAGGACACCTGTTGTGGGTGAAGGTGGCCAAAGAAACATGGCCTGGGCAACTGCAGTGGTAGAAGGAGTGTCTGGATGGGTAGTTTTGGTGAGGGAAACTTACAGAAAGGGATCAAAAAACTCATAACTTGAGGCTCATGGGTAAAGGGGTGCTGGAAGATCCTGTGGCTGCAAGTCACTTTAGGTATGTTCCCAAGAAATCTACTTTTTGGTCTTGTAATAAATCAGCAGGCTAACAGCAGTAGGAACCCACAGGCAATAGTGTTAAGAAACTCAATGGGCAATGAATAACAAAACAGACAAAATGGCCACTGCTTTCATTATAAACAATTTCCTCTTTATGGCTGGCATTTGTTTAAATGATGAATCAGGTTGGAAAAGAGTGAATTTTATTTTTCATGCTGCATTATCTGAGTTCAATAGCTACTAATGAAGATACAAGCGATAGGGAAGCATTTTTCATAGAGCAGCAGGGGATGGATGCACTAAAACTGGCAGACAATAAGGCGATTGTGGTTGCACCTTTTGTCATTCCAAGTGCCATCAGTGTACATCTCCACACATTCCTCTTCCCCTTTGCCAGAAGGTTCATTTAAATGCCAGTTAGTATAGCTCAGCTGTGTACCATCCAGGATCTGGAATTTGCCTGGAATTAGAGATTCCCTTATCCCCAGGTAGGCATAGGTCTTAAAACTTTTCACAAAGTGCAGAATGGCATCATTCTCGCCTGGGTTCTCTGGGGTAGCAATGGACCCTCCAGCTTCTTTGCATGTTTTCAGTGTAGTGTCAAAATCAGCTGTCTTCCCATTGGTAGAAAATATTTTTCCTCCAGATTCTGTTATTTTGTTCTCCAAGCGGAGGACTGCAAGATGAGGTGAAAGCACTTAAACTTCTATGTATTTTTTTGTGGTCACTTTGCTGCTAATTTTAACTCCTCTGTTTTCTACCATAACTTCAGATTAAACCCAGGAAAAGGTGAAGGAGAGGAGAACTTGAAATCAAAGATTTAAAAAAAAAAAAAAAGAAAAGGAAAAATGTAACCACCAAAAGCCAGAAGAAACCTGAGAATGAGGGGAAGGGAAAAAGGGAAGAAACACATAAATACAAAGACAATGAAACAGGAGAAGCACAAAAGAGTTTGGGGAAGGAGGGAAGGAACTGAGGAATTCTACACTTGGAAAAAGTATATGATTTTCTTAGAGACTCTCTATAAGTCTCTGAGATGATTAGCAGTATGCAAATGTCCTTGACATTTGGTGTTATGTCCTTGAGTGAGTAGGATCTTAGATGTGATCTGATCACGATTGTTTTAGTATGTTTTTGGTGTTCAGTTTTTCCATTGGCAGCATGAGGTGTCCTTGCAGCAGTTCCACATAGGCAAAGATTTTAATCTGGTACATTTCTGACTTGCTTGCACTCATACTTAAGAGCTGTTACCTTGGTGCCTCCCCACTAGTTATGAAAATCTAATTCTCCCCTCCCCCATTTGAGAGTTATCATTCAATGATATACCAGTGGACAAGATAGAGATGGAATGCAATAAAACTGCAGAAAATTCTGCCTTTTTCCTAAGAAGCCATTTATGCTCTTGTTGTTTACTGCCACTGATCCAGTTACAGACAAAAGTAAAGGCAGATAAAATACCTCCTTCCAGTCTGGAAATCCGATGTTCTAATTGATGGATAATGTTTCCCGTTTCATCATCAGCCAATGGTATGAAACCTATGATCAAAAAGAGCTCTTATGCACTTTGTGTTACAGTTTGAATCTTGGCTTTCAAGATACAGCAGAAGCAATTGCATGAAATTAATAAGAACCTTTAAAATGTTTGTTTGACGTGTGTTAGTTTACTGCTTTGTTTTAAATAGGGAATATCTTCACACACTGATCTTTGTAAGGAAAGGGAATATGTTCCTGGAAATTGTCAACAGAGCAATAATATTTATGGAAAACTGGAACAGGAAAACTGAGATAGCCATCCCTCTAAGTGATTGAGCCAGTCCAGGCAAAACACTGGCACTTTTGCATCAAGTTTCGTTGACTTTTAACTGTGTCTAGGGACTGAATCCTTGGCAGAACCCTTCAGACTGCTGAAACAATTCCTTGCAGCTCCAACCTAGCACTCAGCAACAAGTTTCTTGTGCAACAGAAAATTGCATCCTTTTCTCTCTGAATTGAACCACTATGTCATTAAACAGGAGATCTAAGCACCTTACTTCATATAAGGAATCAATAAAGATCCAAATGTCTTCTCTCAAGTAGAACACACATCACATTATGCAATATAGCACTGAGTTTACAAGGCATAAAAATAGAACACAATAGATAAAAATGGAGTAGTAACTGCATGTACCTGGTATAAATCCTCCGTCTTTCCCATCTTCAGACAAGTGCCTGAACCCGAGCAGTGAAAGATGTGCTCCAGCTTTACCTTGAGCACAGAGCGGGAGCAGGAAAAAAGCTACTCCTAAGGTTTTGTGGAACAACAGGGGAGACATCATCATTTAAAGCCAAAGATAAACCAAACTGGTTTACTCTTCAGTGTAGAGTCCTGCATTAAAAAAAAAAAAGAAGAAGAAGAAAGGAAAAAAGGAATGGTTCAGAATTTTGCCGTCTGGGTATGAAGTTTTATCTACGTTAGGCTTTGCCTGCAGTGACACAGGAAAAAAGGAATGGTTCAGAATTTTGCTGTCTGGGTATCTGTTAGGCTTTGCCTGCAGTGACACGAACATCATTGATGTAGTTGCAAAGTTTGCTTATTTCAAGCAATTAAAATATTTTTCCAAAAGACTCAGTCTGCTACTCTACAAGAGTCTATAGAGCAAAACCCCAAAACGTCCCCTTCAAAGCTCTTCTTTGAACAATTGATACAATTATATTGCATTTTCCCCATGCAAAAAGCTTTTGTTTCTGTCTTAATTTTACAGGAGAGCAGTAGACACATGGCTGCTTTACCAAGAGGAAGTCCATACAAGATAAACTGGGACACGCTGTCTTTATGGACCAGTTTAAGAGCAAAACAATTGTTAACACTTATTCTTCCACTGCAGCATCCATTTTTTAAAGTATCCTCACCTCAGATGACACAGTCTATAAAAACAGGGGAAATTGTTAATCAAAATGTTGAAGCACAGAAAAGTCTAAACCAGAAAGTTTTGTGATACAGTTTAATAGATTCAACATAATTTAAGCAGAAACCTATTTAAAGGTGTTCAACTTACCTAGCAGCTCCAACATGAGTTAAGAAAGGCTCGTTAAATGGTCTAATTTATAGGGCATGTAACTTGAGATTCATCTGTTTACCTACAGGAAATACAAAAATATGATGGGAAATTTAATGAACGTTAACTGGAATGACAGGAGGATTTTCTTCAAGAGGTAAATATACCTACAATGTGAGGAAAATACTTGAAGGTACTTTATTAATTTGTATAAATGCTTCCACTCCTTCCACCAACCCTGGGGCTGAACAAAGCAATTTCTCAATACATATTTGAAATACCCAAAGTTTCCACAGGATGGCTGCGTAAATGTTAAATTGCAAATATCACTTAAGATAAGCCAAAACAAGTTCACCTGAAATATAATATGCACTGGGAACACCACTGTCATTTTCATCACAAACTGAGGACTTGCCAGTGATACTGACTGAAGTCTTGTAACTAAACAGACTCTCATGGCTGTAACAGGAAAGCCAAAAGACAATTGTACCATGTGTAGAGGAAACAGCTACAGAAGCACATAAATAACTTACAGAATACCCCAGGGGAAGTTTCTATATAATAAATTACAGTTTTATCTATATAATAAATTACAGAACAATGACCTTTCAGTGAAGGAAAAAGATGCTTTACACCAATCTTGCAAGTACAGAGGCCTAAAGATGAAGAGCATCACTGAAATGGAGATGCATTTTACAGTTATTCTCAGCTGAGTGTTGGTTCTATCTGGTGGAGACTTTTAGGAAAGTTTTTTGAAGCTGTGCTCCAATTCAAACAAGTAAGATGCAGTCACATCATCCTTGTGGTGTCAGGACAGCAGCCTGATGTTTCAGCAAGGCTAACACCCATTTGAGGAATAAAGTGCTTTGAGACTTGGTGGGGAATGTGAACAGTATCTGTATTAGTCTAAGATGCTACTAGACCTAAGCAAGCCTAGATCACCTCCACAGGCACTCTGCACCTGTGCCCTGCACGTTCATACTTACCTCAGCAACTGACGTAGAGTCCTTTGTCCTTGGTGGTGTGCCCACAGATGCCTGACTAATTCCTGCAGCATTGTTTATTGAGTGCCCTAGAAAAGGCACCAGTCCTGTGAAAAATAAATAAGAAGTACCGAGTTGTATGTACCTGGACAGAAGAGGGCTGTTTTAAATTTTCATGAGTAAACTTTATTTAAAATTTCATGTTAAATTTCAAGTTTCTTAACTTCTGAGTGTTTGACATAATGCTTTTAATGTTTTTCTGGCAGACACTTTCTAATTGTTTTATTGAAAAAAAAAAGCCCATCAAAACCAAACAGAGAACATGAGACAACCCATTACTTGGCTTCTAGGTGAGTCCTAGAAAAGGTCACTGAAAGAAACTGGGCCTTTCTATCTGTGGTGAAAAAGCCTTTGACATTTCAACTGCATCTGAAAGAAGCCACAGGTTAGGCAAGTGTGAGAAGAGGCTAAGGTTTGGCCTGCATTAGTGGGTTTTGTATGCTGATTTATGGCCTGGAAGGAGAAAGAACTTTTCCTTGTGATAGAATCCTGAGAGTCTAAACTTCTCTTGAATTTCATCAGCGTTAATAAGATGAAGCAAGCTAAAATAGATATTAAAATAGTCCTACTTTTATGTTATGCTTGTTTATGATTGCCTGACAAAATATTTAATACAACAGTCATAACTTCTAAGTGATTTTCTGATCTTACTTTGAGCCACATATCATAGAAATATCAAGGTTGAAGGAGATCTCTAAGATAACCAGGTCCAACCATTACCCTGTCACTCTGCTGTAACCCCTAAACCATATCCTCCAGCATCAGATCCAGATGCCTCTTAAACACTTCCAGGGATGGTGACTCCACCATCTCCCTGGACAATCTATTCCAGTGCCTGAACATCCTAACAGTGAAAACAGTTTTCCTAATATCTAATCTGAATCTCCCCTGTCTCAGTTTATGACCTTTCCCTCTAGTCCTCTCACCGCAGGCATGGCAGGCATACTCCCTTTCTGGTAGTTGTAGAGAGCCACAAGGTCACCCCTGAACTCACTCTTCTCAGGCCTAAACAAACCCAACTCCCTCAGCTGTTCCTCATACAACATGTTTTCCGTACCTTTTATGAGTCTTGTTGCCCTTCGCCGAACTCACTCCAGCACCTCAGTGTCCTTTTTAAATTGAGGTGCCCAAAACTGAACACAACTTCAGGTGTGGCCTCACCAATGCTGAGTACAGGGGGATGATCACTTCCCTAGTCCTGATAGCCACACTATTCTTGATACAGGCCAAGATGCCTTTGGCCTTCTTGGCCACCTGTGCACACTTTGGCTCATATTAAGCCAGCTGTCCACCAGCACCTCCAAGTCCCTTTCTGATGAACAACACTCAAGCCACTCCTACTCCAGCCTGTAGTGCAGCATGGGGTTGTTGTGTCCCAAGTGCAAAACCAACATTTTCCTTTATTGAACCTCATGCAGTTGTCCTCAGCCCATTGATCAAGTCAGTCCAGGTCTCTCTGTAGAGCTTTCCTACCTTTAGGCAGATCAACACTCCCATCCAACTTAGTGTTGTCTGAAACTTTACTGGAGGTGCACTCAATCCCCATGCCCAGATCATCAATAAAGATGTTGAATAGGATTGGCCCCAGTACTGAGCCCTGGGGAAGACCACTAGTGACTGGTCTCCAACTGGATTGAGCTTTACTAACCACAACACTCTGGGCCCAGCCATCCCGCCAGAATTTTGCCCATTGAAGAGTCTACCCATCTAAGCCATGAGCAGCCAGTTTTTCTAGAAGTATGCTGCAGGAGACCGTGTCAAATGCCTTGCTGAAGTCCAGGTAAATCACATCCACAGCCTTCCCTTCATCCAATAAGTGGGTCAC